AAATAAACTGCTGTTTAGATAGGGTGGAGACTGGGGAATTTCTTCCATCTTCTCTCTGTTTTTTTTTTTTTTTTTTGAGTCAGGGTTCTCACCTGGTTACTGCAGCTGGAGTGCAGTGGTGTGGTAACACTCACTGCAGGCCTTGACTCTTCTGGACTCAAGCGGATGCCTCTACCCCAGCCCTCCCAAGGAGCTGGGGACTACGGGTGTGTGCCACCATTGCCCAAGTTAAGTTTTTATTTTTTGTTTAGAGAGAGACAAGGGTCTTACCTTGTGCCTCAGGCTGGTCTCGAACTCCCTGGGACACCAAGGGAACCTTCTGCCTCGCGCTCCCAAGTGCTGTGGAGTACAGGCCGTGAGCCACCACCATCCCAGGCTCTCTTCTGTATTGTTATATTTTATTTCTCGACATTTACTCTAAGCGATGCATTTAAAGTATATACATGGGTATAGGCTGGGCCGGGGTCTTCATGCCGTAGATTCCAGCACTTTGGCAGGTCAAGGCAGGTGGATCACGTTGAGGGCCAGCGGAGTTTGAGACACAGCTGAGCCAACATGGCAAACGCGTCTCTATATTAAAATACAAAATTAGCAGGCATGGTGGTGCACGCCTGTAACTCAGTCTACTCAGCGACGACTGAGGCAGGAGAATCGGCCTTGACAACCGCGGCAGATGTGAGGTTGGCAGTGAGCTAAAGATCCACGAACTCGCACTCCAGCCTGGGTGACCAGATGAGCGCTTGTCCAGAGAAAAAAAAAAAAAAAGAGTGTGTGTGGTGTACTATATATTTGTGTATCATACTATTATGTGTTGTGTGTGTGTGTATATATTAGATACCACACCAAGCAATAGATTCCTTAACTTTCAAATAGCCAGTGCCCACTGTGAGTTATGGAAAAGACCAACCAAAGTTCAACTGTTACTTACCTTGGGGAAGACAACGCTCAAGCGAAGCCCTCCTTTGAGCTGTGAGGACACAGAGACTTGGGGCCTGTCATGTACCTGCACCTCTGGCCACTTTGGTAACCAGCCCTTCACGGACCCACACCCACAGATACCCACCCCTCCTGGAACCGCTTGGAGGAGATGGAGGCGCGGCTGCAGAAGTTGGTGCTCCCCGAACCTCGCTTGGCCTGCCACCACGACGTGGGGTCGTCCTTGGCTCACACCTTCAGGCCTGCCAATGGCGCTGGAGAGGGCAGGCCCGCCTCCTGACAAGGCGATGGCCCGGTCCCGCCGCGAGGGGTGTAGTGGAAGAGGGCGCGCATGAACACACCATGCCAAGGAGGGCTCTGGTGAGCCGGCGCTTTCCGACACGTGAGCACCGACAGGTCATTGCACATCAAAGGCACATGATAACGACCAACCCACACTTAGAGGGCAAGCGGACCTTTCTGAATAGAAAACTACTTGAACACCTGGCACATAGTTCTCAACTGTTCTTCAACCATTTGGGTACGTATTACTATAGTCAGGAATTCCATCAAGAATCAGAAAATTAATAGACCCCATGACTGAATATCTCTTTCTCACCTAAATATTTCCTTATTTACTTGACCAGCTGTCCTCATAACAGCCTCTTAGCATACACACAGCAACAACTAATCCTGGGAACAAAAAGTAAAGGCAAGCACAATTTCTAACTCAAGTGTTATTTTTGACACGCCAACTGAGCTGACGGAAGGCAGCAGCCATCTGTTATATAAGTAATCTAGATGTTTGGGTAAGAACACAAATATCAACAAAACTACTGTTACTGACTCCTCACCATCACTTTTCAGTGGGTAATTGACACCCACAGCTCTTACAGCTCAATCCTGCCTCATCTGCCATAGACTCGGCCAAGCCCCAATTCCCCCCTCTACTCTAGAGTCACCCTCTCTGGAGAAGATGGTGTGAGTACACAGCATTTTTCACACTTCCTTGTTCTCTTCTATAATTTGGTGGCATGGATTAATTTTATTTATTTCTATTTTCAGACCATTAGGGCCCAATCACTTCAGTGGCAAACAGAAAAAAAAAAAAAAAGGAATCAGGGGTCTTCCTCAGACAGATACAAACTGCATTCCTTTATATGCCAACCAGAAAAGATTCCATGGGACAACAGTAAGAACTTTCTGGCATATGTTGTGGGGACAGATACTCTTTAACCAGTCACAGATGTTACCAGGGTCCTAAGCACTCAGAAGAGTGTAATCTTAAGTGGCCAGCCCAAATCAAGCATCTGGATCAAGAAGAAATATTCAAGAAGGATGGGCTGGGGGACAGGCTACTCATTTTGTCCTTTAGGAAAACCAAGTTCTCTTCCTCAAAGAGGGTTCCTCAAGTCAGAACCCTCAAAGTTGCATATGGGGACCACATTTGCTTGCCCTAAAAAGAATCACTTTCCACCAGGTAACAGGAAATATTATGCCCTGGGATTTAACCAAAGAGCACAAATAAGAAACAGCTATATAAAGATTATTTCTTCACTTGCTGCAAAAAACTGTCATTGAAGACATAGTCCATTACAAATCCACATTCTTCGAAGTATCGACTGACATTCCCTCTCTGCCAGATGCTGTAACATCTCTTCTTTCATGCTTTAAGTACTGACAGGCAGGTATGGAAATCAATCTTGAAAAACTGGCATGCTTCCTTCCATTCTCTGCTCAACAGTATGTAATTCATTATGCTATCCTTTTTGCCTTGGCTGCCAGGAAACTCAGATCCAAATGTACTGTGAAATCAAAGTGATGCCCTCCTCTCTATCTCATCAACCACCATCTCACAGTTCAGGTCTTAATAATGTCTCACCTGGGCTTTTACAAGAGCCTTCTACCAGGCCTCCCTGCCTCCAACCTCTACCTCTACCCACTCCACCCTCTCCCTGTGGCTGCCTCAGGGAGTTTTCTAAAACACAAATATAACTATACCACTCCCATCCTAAAAAAAAAAAAAAAAAAAAAAACAACACACACACACACACAAACACCTTTAAGAGCTTATTAGAACCTATGGGACTATCTCTTGGGCTGTGGGATGCCTTCCCATATGCCCCAGGGCTGGACCATTCAGTGCAGCCTGCTGACTTCCAGCTGCCAGCACCTGCATCTCTTTGCCTAGGGACTTACTTTCTCTGGCCACTGGAGCCTGCTCTTCTCTAATCCAGCAGGCAGAAGTTGCTAGGAATTAATCCCCCAGGTGCAGCCTGGCAGGAGTTGGTGTACAGATCGCCCAGCTCCCAGGGCCCCTGGGTGGGATGATAGAGGCATGTGTTCCACAGGGGAGGAAGTAGTTCCCCAAGTTCCCAGCAGGACTAAGCTCCAGCTGCCCATAGTGGCAACCTGCTTGATAACACACCCTTGGTCAGATCAGCTGTCTTCCCTTTCCCAGTCCTGTACTGGTGTTTCCTGGGGTCACTTCCCAAATAAACCATTTACATTAAAATCCTTGTCTCAGGGGCAGCTTCTAAGAGGCCCCAAACTAAGCAAGGATTATGCCAAAACCCTTAACAAGGCATTGAGGCCATTCAGAACATAGGCTTAACCCACCTCCCCAGCAAAACCCACCACCATCCTCCCTGCAAAGCCCCACCACATCGCCCTTAATGTGCTCCTCTCCAGAATGCCAGGGAGCCTCTGTATGGGCAGACCCCGCCAAGGTCCCACTCTTCTTTACCTTCTTCAGGCCTCAGTTCCAACACCCCCACTCTGACACCCTCAAGGGTGACTGTAACTCTTTGTACAGAATCTTGACAAAGCACTTATTACATAGCAAGGAAAGATTTGCTGCCCTTCTGCACCAGGAACCCTTGAAGCTACCAAGAGTCCCTGTCTCCAACATTTGGCAGAGTGCCTGGCACAGAGGAGGTGACCAAATAAGGCAGGCTCAGCAACAATTAAACAAATGGCAGTTACTTAATTGGTTCAGAAATCAGCACACTTGGTACCTTCTCCTCCTCTTCATGGCCCTGAGTTTCTATTTCAATTAAAATAACCTCGTCTTTTATTATTAGTAAGCCACGTCAAATCCTGTTTAGAAAGAGGCAGGGTACAAACAAATGAATCACTTTGTGACGGAATTAAAGTCCTTCAACGGGCACAGATTACTAGGACCAGATCTATGATCTGTTCCCGAATGACTGTTTCAAGAGGCTGGACTGGATCCAGCCCCCAGCCAGCGAGCTGCATCTCTCAAGCTGAGAGAGGGCACCGCAGGCCCACCTTCCCATACCTTGCTCTCCTTTAAGCGATCTTCCTCCTGGGTGGCTGGGATGATTTTTAGGGTGATGGACCCCTGGGACTGGGCCTGAAACGAGAGAGAACAGAAGCTTCTCACCTACCAGGTCTAACCCTCTAAGAGCTCAACTTCTACTTCTCAGGCCTAAAAACTGATGTTCAGAAAGTCAGACTTGCAGCCTCCCAAGGCCCACCCTTCTAGGATGGTGCCCTGGTTGAATGAACTAAAGCAAAACTCAGTAACCAAGTAACTGTACCTTTTTGTATTTTTTTATATTTTTATTATTTTAAAGCCAGTTCAAATTTAGCAGTGGAGGGTTGGTAACTGTATTTTCCAAAGACAAAGGGATGGAAGACTTTCCATGAGAACCCAACGTGTTGAATTCCAATCCTCCATCCCTGCTGACCACTAGGGCCCCAGAGGGCTCCCTTCCTTGCTTTCCTCTTGGGTCATCTGAACAACCCATTTCAGCTTCCTTTGCCTCTTTCCTGACTGATTTGGGGCTGGTCTCTGATTAATACTTCCCTCTTTGCTTCCATCTCCCCAATCTCAGGTCATGCCCAGCTTTCCAGGAGCTCCCTTCACCCTCATCTACAGAGACCCTGCAGCCCAATGCCAGGGGCCCAACAAGGAAGAATGCTGTCGGACCAGGACAGCAGGGCCCAACAGACCACCTCCTGGCCTCTCCACTACCCAGACAGCCCACATCCTTGCTCTGCAGCACACGGAAGGTGGCACCCAAAGCCACAAAAAAAGCAAGCTTGGGCAAAAGGACTGAAGGGCCTGCCTGCAATCTGCATCCTCTACAGAGGGGGCTTTATTTTGTTGGGTTTCTGTTTTGTTTTGTTTTTTGAGATAGAGTTTTGCTCTCATTGCCCAGATTGGAGTGCACTGGCATGATCTCGACTGCCTGCAACCTCTGCCTCCCAGGTTCAAGCTATTCTCCTGCCTCAGCCTCCCAAGCACCTGGGATTACAGGGGCCCACAACCATGCCCAGCTAATTTTTTGTATTTTTAGTAGAGATGGGGTTTCACCATGTTGCCCAGGCTGGTCTCGAACTCCTGACCTCAGGTGATCCACCTGCCTCAGCCTCCCAAAGTGCTGGGATTACAGGTGTGAGCCACTGGGCCCAGCCCAGAGAGGGCTTTAAACAGTGGGCCTCCTCTCTTCCGATCTTATCCTGTTTCTGCCCCCAAAACTATCAGAAGTTAGCAAAGAGTATCAGGTTGGGGGAGGAATCCTGAGGATAAAGGGGACCAAGCTATGATTGGGGCTTTTCACAATTTCAGTTTTGACTTCAGCTCCCCAGAATGGACCACGGAGATTTTCAGCCAAGCATTTAATACCTTGAAATCCCCTTACACTTCTGAAGGGCTTTACCCTTTTCCAGATGTTGGCATCCCAATGATAACCACACATTGGTTGAGAAAGAATCCCTATCCCAACGTTAAAGGAAAGGAAATGGAAACTCAGATGATCTGATGGCTTGTCCAAGGTTGCACAGCTGGAAGCAGGCAGAGCCAGGATTCATACCCAGGACCCAGGACCCAGGAGGGACCTTGTGAAAGGCAGCCAGGGGAAGGAAGGAAGGCTGTGCTGAGAAGAGGGTCTAAGAGAGGCAGATGGAAGGGAAGTTCCCCTCCTCCTGCCGCCACCCCATACCCCAAGCACACCATTAGGGGCACACCATAAGGCCACTTTGCCTGCCACCTCCTCAGGACAACAGCAAGGCTAAGCCAGAATCTGCCTTGGCTCCGGAAAGCGCCCCGCTCTGGGTGTCTGAAGACCCAGCACATCCCTAGCAGGCACGTAGCACGGACCAGAATCTGGCTGATCTCGTCGGGCCGCTTGTGCAGGACTGCAATCCCGTTCACTTCTCGGAGCTCGTCTCCAACGTGGACCAGGCCTAGGAGACACAGGGACTGACCATCAGCACAGGAGGAGAGCCTGAGCACCAATCACTCAGAGCTCCAAGCACCACAGGGGCCTGCCTGAGGAGCCCACTGCAGGGTCAACTCGAGGTTTAAAGTTGATGGGTGGGACTCGGGCGAACTAAGCCCCTGAGTGCTGGGCACTTCACTTGGCATGGAGGGCTCAAATCACCCAGTAAAATCTCCATTTTACAAATTGGCACCTGAGACCCAGGAAGATTAAGCAGCTTGCATAAGGCCACATTGCTAAGAAATAATGAAGCCAGTATTCAAACACAGTTATTCTGATGTAGAAAGCCTGTGTTCTTTTTGCTATAACCTCTGCTTCTTTAAAATTATCATTAACTCTTCACCTTCCTAGGTTTACAGATATACTCCTAGAATGGCGTCCTTAAGTCTTAACAAGGAAAGACAAAAGCGCCAGTGAAGACATCATTAAGACTGTAAACACAATATGAGCCTCTGCCTGAATGACAAATGTCTCGGCATATTAGGGCCCTATTTGCTACTCAAAGTGGACACTGGCCTGGCTGCATCAGCATCACCTGGAGGCAGGTTAAAAGTGCAGAATCTTCAGCCTAGCTCAGACCTGCTGAATCAGTCTGCATTTTAACAAGATGCTCAGGGAATTCGTGTACTCGTTAATGTTTGCAAAGTGCTGGTCTAGGATTCTCTGCAACGGTGACCCCCAGACTTTGGGGGTAACATCCCCCTATATCAGGAGGTTTGTCTCCCAGCTTAGTAGCTCTTCCACACACCGGTGATTCTCAACCTTTCTACCCAAATGAATCTGGGGCACAAACACTCTCTTTGTAACAGTGGTTTGACAAGACCTGGGGTGGTGGGGAAGGGTGTCATCCCTGTCCCAGTTAGTAATCCCCCAAGCCCATGCTATATTCTTAATTGTCACAGTCCTTGGACTAAACCAACGCATGAGCTTTTTCTCAATCACCCCAAAGTACTCCATGACTATTTTTTATATATATATACGTATATATAAAATATACATACATATCTACGTATATATAAAATATATATGTATATATAATTTTTTCTTTTTTTTTTTTAGAGACAGTCTCACTGCATCAGCCACCCTAGAGTGTAGTGGTGTAATCACAGCCCACTGCAACCTGAAACTCCTGGGCTCAATCTTCCCACCTGGGCCTCCCGAATAGCTAGGACTACAGGTGTGGGCCACCATGCATGGCCTATATTTTCTTTTTCTCTTTTTTTTTGAGACGGAGTTTTGCTCTTGTTGCCCAGGCTGGAGTGCAATGGTGTGATCTCGGCTCACCACAACCTCCACCTCCCAGGTTCAAGTGATTCTCCTGCCTCGGCCTTCCCAAGTAGCTGTGATTACAGGCATGCGCCACCAATCCTGGCTAATTCTGTATTTTTAGTAGAGACGGGGTTTCTCCGTGTGGGCCAGGCTGGTCTCGAACTCCCGACCTCAGGTGATCTGCCCACTTTGGCCTCCCAAAATGCTGGGATTATAGGTGTCAGCCACAGCGCCCGGTTTTTTTGTTTGTTTGTTTGTTTTGAGACAGAGTCTCACTCTGTTGCCCAGGTTGGAGTGCAGTGGCATGATCTCGGCTCACTGCAACCTCCACCTCCCAGGTTTGTGTGTTTAGTAGAGATGGGGTTTCGCCATGTTGGCTAGGCTGGTCTCCAACTCCTGACCTCAAGTGATCCGCCCACCTCAGCCGCCTAAAGTGCTGGGATTACAGGTGTGAGCCACCACGCCCAGCTGGCCTATATTTTCTATTAAAATTTCTACTGACTTGGGAAGGAGATGAGAATTCCAGCCACAACCCCAGAAAGCAAAGCACATCCCAAACAGGTGGTCTGATAGGAGAGAAGTAAGGGGAGCTATGAGCAAAAGTGGAGGGCTCTGGAACAATGGCCATGATCAGGGGTGGGCCAGCTTTGCACGCCGCCACTCACCGCTCCTGTCTGCTGCGCCTCCTCGCATGATCCTGGCCACCACGACAGCCCCTGAGTGCTCGTCCCGCCGGATGGTGGCACCCTGAACCCGAGACAGAAGAGACAGGTTCTTAAGCAGCAGCTCCAAATCTCAGACCCCTACTCTCTGGACCCAACACAGCCTCCCCAGTCCCTCCCTCTGACAGTCCTGAGGGCAGATCAGTGGGGACCTTCCCAATGCTGAAGACAAAACAAAACCAACATCTTCCATTAGTACAGTCCTGCACTTTACAGTTTACAAAGCACAATAATGCTGCAACATTTTAGATGAGGGACTGGGGCTCAGAGAAGTTAAATATCCTCAAGGTTACCCAGCTGGTAAAGGGGAAAGCTTTTTGTGATGCCAAATCCAGTACGTTCTCCATCACATCTCTGTCATATCACAGTTCCTACCACTTGCAAAGACATTTAATAATGAGGATGATACGTGCCAGCTAATTCTCACCCTGCCTCTACCCAATCACAGGGTTACCAGGCCTTCTGCTGCTGCTGAGGGAAACCAATTATGCACCCCAGCCAGAGCTTCAGGACCAGGACTTGGCCCATGAAGCACAGCAGAGATGACACTTAGGATGAGAAAGGAACTAACGAGCCCTCGATTTCCTGCACCACAGAGGCTGGACTGCAGCAGGACAGCAGAAAGCTTAAGAGCTAAGCTCTAGGGCTGGACAGCCCTGGGTGTGAACACAGTTCCGCCATTTACAAAAAGCATGTGGCCTTAGCAAGGAAATCTCTTATCCTCTTCAAGCCTGTTTCCTGTGAGATGTGGGATAGCATTTAACTCACAGTGTTGTTGCAAGGATTCCATGCAATGCACTTAGTACACAATAAGCACTCAACATATGTTAACCACTTATTAGTGGCTGTAACTGCAAACACATTTGCACAGTTATTGTTAACATCATCCGTGCCATCTAATACATAAAAGTACATAAAATAATTATTGCTAGAGAGGCCATCAACTGAGAACCCCAGGACTTCTAGCCCCGCCAGACCTGAGAACTTTCCAGCATTGCTATCTATCATTTATTCAGCTCTGAACTGCCAGCACCCAATACAGAGCCTGGATAGGAGGGCTCACAATGTGTTTGCTAAATCAATGGATGGCTGCTCCATTTTACAGGTGAGGAAACAGAGGGAGAGGAGAGATCCTCGTCTGCTTGCAGAAGAGGCTCATAGGAGGTCATTTGGGGAAAGCTGGAAATAGAGAATGACAGCTGTGGGATCTTCTGGAGCCAATCTCAATTCTCTGGGCTTCCACCACTTCCGTGCATCTCATGAACAACACTGTCCCTTTGGTCAGTAAATCAATGCTGAACCAGGACCAAAGTGATAGCAATCAGTCTACTGGGGAGAGGAATGCCCCGTGCTTCCTCAATATTCAGAGCAGGCATTGTCACACATTTTCTGTAAGAGGCCACACGTAAATATTTTAGGCCAGCTACACAGTCTCTGTCACAATGACTCAACTCTGCCATCGCACTATAAAGGCAGTCACAGCCTATCTCTAAGTGAATGGGCCTGGTTGTGCTCCAAAAAAGCTTTATTTTAAAAAATAAGCTGTGGGCTGGGTTTGGCCCTTGGGCTGTAGTTTGTCCATTTCTGGCTTAAAGGATGATCAAGGTCACCCTATACAATTGTGCAGGTTATTTACTGCACAAAGCGGGTTGGCCACAGTTGAGAGGGGCTGTATCCACCCAGAGGAAGGGGTGCCCTGCACACAGAGGCGCCACAGGGACGAGCAGCAGCCCCGGCAAAGCTGTTGTCACTCACTCTGAAGACTTCGGGGAGGGTCTCGTCCCAGTGTTCTGGGTGGGGGTGAGAGGCAGGGGAAGAGTGGGTTAGAGAGAAGCAGGCAGCAGCACCTACCAGGGGTTCCTTGTTCTTCACCAAGCGGACGATCTTCACAGATTCCTCATCAAAATCCTCATCGATATTGTCAGGCAGAGGCGGGAGAACAGGGTCAAAATTCTTCTGGGCAACCGTGTCGTGTACCATGAGCACAGCCTGTCGGGAAAGCAAGAGAAAAGGAGGGCTGGCCCGCCACTCACAGGGTCAGCAGGCCGTGGCTAGGTGGTGGTCTGGAGGGTAGCAGATGCCATGCCAGAGAGACAACTGCCCAGACACTAGTGCTGAGGATAGCTCCCTCAGAAGTCTCCACTCCTCAGCCTCACGAGGAGAGCTCCCTCCACCCCCATCCCAGGAGACACAGAGGCATGGGTGGGCAGGGGCTCTGCGCGACTACCCTCAGGTGCGGGGTGGACAGCAGCTGGAGCAGCTCCTTCTCATCACTGTGCACGGAGGCGGCCTGCAACTCCTCCATCACCTGCAGAGAATGAGACAGGCGCCACCGATGGCTAGAGGTGCCCCTGCCCCACATCTGCTGGGTCCTTCTTCTTTGGGCCACAGACCCAAGGGCCCACCCAGCTGCAGACCCTCAGCCACCCCAGGACGATGATCCCAGGAACATCACACCAGGGGTCAGGAGCAGCTCGACGGGGCCATCCTCCAAGGAGCCACCATTTTAAGCCCTATGTGCTTTCTGCTTTATGTGGATCTTCTCACTGAACCCTGCAACCAACTCGATGCAGAGGGTCTTGTTACTTTGCCATTTTACAGATGAGAATCCTGAGACTCAGAGATTAAACATCTTGCCCGAAGTCACAGAGCTCATATACAGCACAGCTAGGATTTGAACCTGGGCTTACCTGGCTCTCAGATGCTATGTTATGAATGAGGAAATGGGAGCTCAGAGAGGTTGAGTGGCCTACTTAACATCACAGAGCCAGTGGGACAGGCAGCGCTGAGCCTGGGAACCGGGCAATCTATTGTGCCCCTAATCACATTCCACAGTGGAGAAGGGCCCAGGGCTCTGCATCCACAGGCTGCACCCATCCCTCCCCAGGCCATCTCCTGGGGTTAGGAGAGTTTATTCAGGAGCTGATCTCAGTAATCAACCAGAATGGCTTTTCCCCAACCATACAACACAGACGACTAGGTCCACAAGAAATTAAGAAGCGTTCCTTTAAAAAATGAGAAGCCTGAGCCAGTATGCGGGGACACACTCTAGGTCCCTTGACTTCAGGAAAGCACAGATACAATGTCTAATTGACCTATTCAAATCATCCGTCTTCAGAGCAGTTTGGGAACTGCTCAGCCAATCCAATGCTCTCATTTACAGCAGAGGAAACAGACTTGCTCCAGAACACACAGATAGTGGGCAGCCCCATGTCAGTGTCTCCCAACCCAGTCCAAGGCTCACCGGTTCCTCCCTGCCTTTCGGGGAACCCAGAGAGAGGAAGAGAAAGAGGAGGACAAGGGAAGAAAACACCTCTTCACCTTTGGGCTCCTGATTCCTGGTGTCCCCAGACTAAGCAAACGAGGCAAGATGAAGGAACTCTACAGGGTAGGGAGTGGGGCAGACGCTCTAAGGAGAAACCTGGGACTTACGTCCTCAGCGAGGGCCACAGCGCTGTGCAGAACTGGGGTTGGACTTTGCCTTTCATAATAGCGAAGCTTCTCATGAATCTGCAAAGACAGAGTATTTCAGATGCACCCTGGACACCACACATCCCACCCATGGCTGTGGGGACAACTGAGGCAGCAGACTGGGCCACTGATGGGGCACCGTAAGAGAAAGTCCTGTGCAGTGGGCAAGTGAAGGCCTTCCTGGGGCAGGGAGATGACTAGGATGACCTCAGACAGCCACAGACAGCTAGAAAGACCTCTAGACACCCTTCCAGGCAGGATGACGTGGGACTTCACCTTCATTAAGTAACTGAGGCTTTTTTCACTGAAAACATCCCTCAGGAAGCCCATCTCCTCCTTGTGGTTGGAGTCAGGTCTCAGCTGGGAGGTCAGCAGGGCCAGGGTTTCATGCAAACCTGGGGAGAGGTGAGAAAAGCAAAGGATGGCAAACGCAGTGGGTGCTCCCTGCCCCCAAGGAGCCCGAGTGGGGCCTCAAACAGCACTTCGGTCCTGCCGTGAGGACATTCTCTCCCCAGGTTCTCACTGCCAGGGCCTGGAGGCTGCCAGGCAGGCTCTTGTCTTCAGCCCGGGGGAGGTACTTACCAGAGTCCTCCGACAGCACTGGCATGCTGGTGTTGTCACGTCCTGACCTCTCCCTGCAGATTCTGGGAGAAGGGGGTGGGGGTGGGTATTGAAGCTCCATCAAGCATATGTATTCAACAAACTGACTACACCTCTACTGTGTTCTCTGAGACCAAGCTGTGGACAGAGAAGATGGGAACAAATAACTCTGCTCACTTTTTTCAGAGAGGAAGGAAATAAAGCTAAGATGTGCTGAGTGTTCTCAATGTGCCAAGCATTGTGTGGGGTGATTTCTATGATAAATTTTTTGTCTGCACAAAGTCCTGAGAAAAGACTGCGAATGTTCCCATTTTCTTGATGAAGAAACAGCGGCGTGGAAGGGTTCAGAAAGTTGTGGGTCAAAATCCACATTCAAGCAGGCTCTTCCAGGCTGGCCTTGGAGGTGCCAAGTGACCCTGCCTGACAGTGTCTGCTGTCCTCCGCAGCGCACCCCCTCCACTATAACCTTGTAAGAGCCCTGGCTCAAGCCCCCGCTGGGACCCACCTTCCACAACTACCTGGCTGGGCCTACAAGCTCCCTCTCCCCGACCCCCCAAGACCCAACCCAAAGGGAGTCTCCAGACTGGAGTGCAGAGAGGAGGGGGAGAAATGGGAGTCGGGCTTCCACTATGCGGGGGGGACCCCTATCTCAGGAGGCCCCCCAAGGTGCTCTGCAGCACGTGGACCTCAAAAAGTCCTCCTTAGGAAGAGGAGAAGGAGAGTCATGATTGATTCATTCCACAAACATGGAGCCAGCCCGCGGCGCCGAGCCCGGGTGCCACTAAGAGGCATAAGAACCGCCCCGGGCCCTCTAGCCCCCGCCTCGCCCCGCCACGCCGGACTCACCCTTGGGCTGCTCCCCGCAGGAGGCCGAGCACCGACTCCCGCTCGCTCTCCGAAGGAACCTGTGGGACGAATAAGGAGCGCGCTGGGTGCAGAAGCGGCGACCCCAGGGGACCTCGGAGGGCGGTCCCGGAGGACGCGGAGCGGCAGGGAGCTGGGGGCGCGCGGCAGGGCGGGCGCGGGAAGAGGGAGGCGGGGGCCGAGGGGCGGGGCTCGGTGGGCTCGGTGGGCCGCGAGGCTGCCGGGGAGCACGAGAGGAGGGTCTCGGCCCGGTCTCCCGCCCCTCCCGCCGCGGCGCCCAGCTCCCTCGTCCGTTGCCCGCGCCGCCTTCTACCTCGTCGCGCCGGGATGTGTGCTCCGCGAACGGGAGCCGCGCGGGTGCTCCGAGCCTGGGCCGCCGCTGGCTCCGCCTTCCTGGGCCCCTCCCTGCGGCTGCCGCGCAGGGCGGGGGTGGCGGAGCCTAAGGAGGCGCGGCGCGGGGAGGAGGCGGGGGAGGAGCAGAGGCTGCCCTCCGCGTCTGGCACCGCGGCCCCCCCGAGCCGGGCTCCGCTAGCCGGCGTCGTACCCCCTCCCGCTCTCCCGCTCCCTGAGCCCCCTGCCTGTGTCCCCCCCGCCCTGGCACACAGCCAGCCTTCCCTTCCGGCCGCACAACCCACCCTCCTCGAGTGGAGGGGTGGACACCTGCTCAACAGAGAATTCGATTTTGCAAACATTTATTGAGCACCCTCCAGGTGCCAGGCGCTGTGCCAGGGGCCAGGGCTTCAAAGACGACCAAGGCAGAGATTCTGGGTTTGAAGATCTCCCGAGCTGGGGCTGGGGGCCGGTCGGATGCGAGGGCAACTCGCTGTAACAATGCAACGCGCTGGGAAAGATTTATCAGTGCACGCTGCCCTGAGGGCGCAGAGCAGGGGAGGAGAAGTCAGGCTGGAGAGAAGGGGGACTCCATTCTGCCCGGCTGCAGGGGGGTGAGGCTACATAGCAAAGGCCACCAGCATCCAAGGGCTTTACTGGAAAAAGAGCTCTGAAATGGCCATGACAATAACTGACTTCCATTGTGCTGTCTCTACGCCCAGGTACTCCTCAGATCACTTCTCTTCACAGTAGTTCCTGATAGCAAGACCGTTATTATTTTGGTTCTGCAATTGAGAAAACTGAGGTTCCAGGTGGAAGAATGTGTATAGGGGAGAGCATAGGAACTGCTGGGCGAGTGAACAGGTGGTTGTGGGTATTAGAAAGCGAGGAGTGGGTGAGTGAGTGGGCCCCCTTCCCTCAATCCCAGCAGCAAAGAACAGCACAGCACATGTCAGGAGAGGTGGACCCAGAGGTCAAGTCTGGAAGTAAATCCTTCCCAGGAACCAGGGAAAATGGGTTGGCAGGCCCCACAGGCTGTAGTGCATGGGGAGGCTGTGAGAGGCAGCAAATGTCATGATGACGTTTCCCCTCATTCCTCAAAAATTATCCTCAATCCTCAAAAAATATCCACACTATTGCCGCTCAAAATGTAACTTGCCTGAGACTCACTAGGGGGTTGTGTAATGCTGGGGTGGTGCCAGATTCTGAATTTCTAACAAGCTCCCAGGTGATGTGATGCTGCTGGTCTGCAGACCACACTTTTTGAGTGGAGAGAGACTGCATGAGACACATTTTTAGCTGCAATGCTTAGTGTTGGAAAGATAACGAGAACCATCTGATATGGGGTCAAATGATTTAGGACAAGAACACCAGGAAGTGATGTTGGAACAAGTAGATATTTATGTGCCTGAAGGGACCCAATCCCTACCTCACACCATATTCAAAACACGCTTTAAGAGAGATCACTTGCCTAAATATAAAGCAAATTGATAAAGCTACTAGAAGAAAACAGGAGGGTATCTTTTAAATCTTGGGGTATGCAAAGATTTCCTAGAAAGGATGCAAAAAAGCCAGGCATGGTGGCATGAGCCTGTATCCCACATACTCAGGAGGCTGAGGCAGGAGAATTGCTTGAGCCCAGGAGTTCAAGGCTGCAGTGAACTATGATTGGTCCACTGCACTTCAGCTTGGGTGACAAAGAGACACCATCTCTTAAAAAGGAAAAACTAAAAAAAAAAAGCATGGACCCTGAAAACAATTGATAAACGGACCTCATCAAAATTTAAAACTCCTGCTCATCAAAAAACACTTGGCCTGGCACAGTGGCTCATGTCTGTAATCCCAGCACTTTGGGAGGCTGAGGCGGGTGGATCACCTGAGGTCAGGAAATTGAGACCATCCTGGCTAACACAGTGAAACCCCATCTGTACTAAAAATACAAAAAATTAGCCAGGCGTAGTGGCACATGCCTGTAGTTCCAGCTACTCAGGAGGCTGAGGCAGGAGAATTGCTTGAACCCTGGAGGTTGCAGTGAGCCAAGATCAGGCCACTGCACTCCAGCCTGGGTGGCAGAGTGAGACTCCATCTCAAAAAAAAAAAAAAAAGACCGGGCGCTGTGGCTCACGCCTGTAATCCCAGCACTTTGGGAGGCCCAGGCGGGCAGATCACAAGGTCAGGAGATGGAGACCATTCTGGCTAACATGGTTAAACTCCTTCTCTACTAAAAATACAAAAAATTAGCTGGGCATGGTGGCAGATGTTGCAGGGAGTGGAGATCACACCACTGCACTCCAGCCTGGGCGACAGGGTGAGACTCCGTCTCAAAAAAAAAAAAAAAAAAAAAAACTATTAAGAAAATAGGACCAGGGACCAGGTGCAGCGGCCCACACCTGTAATCCCTTCAAGCACTTTAAGAGTTCAAGGCGGGTAAATGGCTTGAGCCCAGGAGTTCCAGACTAGCATGGGCAACACGGCAAAACCCAGCCGGTATCTACTAAAATTACAAAAACTAACAAGGTCTGTTGGCTTGTGCCAGTAGTCCCAGCTGCTCAGGAGACTGAGGCAGGAGGATCACTTGAGCCTGGGAAGCAGAGGTTATAGTGAGCCATGATTGTGCCACTGCACTCCAGGCTGGGCGGCAGAGTAAGACCCTGTCTCAAAAAGAAAAGAAAAGAAAAGAGAAAAGAAAGAAGGAAAGGGAAGGGAGGGGAGGGAAGGGGAGGGGAAGCAAGGGAAGTAAGCCACAGACTGGGAGACTAGGAAGAAATATATCTGACAAAGAAATTGTATCCAGAATAAAGAACTCCTGTAACTCAATAAAAAGACAAACCACCCAATCAAAAAAAGGCAAAAGAGATGAACACTCACTTCATAAAAGAAGATATACAAATAACCAATAAGCATATGAGAAAGCACTCATCCAACATCATCTGTCATCAAGGAAATGCAAATTAAAACCTGTCATAGTCAGTTTCTGCTGCTATAACAAAATACCACAGTAATTTATAAGTAATACAAATTTATTGCTTACAGTTCTAGAGGCAGGAAAGTCCAAGATCAAGGGGCCAGCCTGTTCAGTGTCTGGTAAGGGCCTGTTCCTCTCTGATGATGGCATTGGATAAGTATCCTCACATGGTGGAAGAGAAAGACGGGCATAAAGGGATGAACACTGTGTCCTCATGTGGCATAAGGGGCCAAAGGGGTTAGGGTGCTCCCTTCAAGTTCTCTTATAAGGGCATTAATCCCATTCAAGTGTCCATCAACAAGTAAATGGATAAATATCCATTCACTTGTGGTATATCCATACAATGGTATATTTACTCACCAATAAAAAGAAACAAACTACAACTCAAAGACTATCCCTACCATGCAACAACATGGATAAACGTCAAAATAGATTGGGCCAGGCACAGTGGCTCACACCTGTAATCCCAGCACTTTGGGAGACCGAGTCAGGCGGATCACTTGAGGTCAGAAGTTCAAGACGAGCCTGGCCTGGCCAACATGGTGAAATCCCATTTCTAGTAAAAAAAAAAAAAAAAAAAAAATTAGCCAGGTGTGGTGGTAGGCACCTTTAATTCCAGCTGCTCGGGAAGCTGAGACACAAGAATCACTTGAACCTGGGAGGCAGAGGTTGCAATGAGCCAAGATCACACCACTGCACTCCAGCCTGGGCGACAGAACAAGACTCCATCTCAAAAATTAGATAGATAGATAGATAGATAGATAGATAGATAGATAGATAGATAGATAGATGGATGATAGATAGACTGAATGCAAGAAGGCAAACACAAAAGAAGTACATACTGTATGATTACTGGTGTGTTGTCATCTTGGTGCCATGACTGAGGTCAGAGGCCTTCATTAGGTCAGAAACCCACTTTATTATTTTTAAAAATTACCAAAGCTACCTCAAAAGAAAGATAAAATATTAATAGATCAATGTTACTAGAGTAGAGCTGTCAAGTGCTCCCTCAAAAATCACTAGGTCCTGCTAGTTCTGCAGGATAACTTCACCAAACATTTAAGGAAGAAACACATTTTAATTCTTCTAGAAGGTAGAAATAGAGGGAAATCTTCAAAATTCTTTTTGTAATAGCATTGATACTAAAACCTGTCAAAAAAGGCCAAAAAAAAAAACTTGCAAATGAGTCACATTTATAAATATTGGTGCAAAAATCCTAAAAACTGTGTCAGTTAACAAATTCACCAGAGCATAAAAAGAATAACACCCCATGAGGAAGTAGAGTGTATTCTAAAAATGATTTAATATTTGGAAATTAAATTTTTTAATATTTGGAAAGCTCTCACTCCATGTAAGACAATCTATCAATAGGATAAAAAGTTAGACAGGGCATAATGACTCACGCCCATACTCCCAACTCTTTGGGAGGCCGAGGCAGGCGGATCACTTGAGGTCAGGAGTTTGAGACCAGCCTGGCCAACATGGTGAAACCCCATCTGTACTAAAAATACAAAAATTAGCTGGGCATGGTGGCACATGCCACCACAGTTACTTGGGAGGCTGAGGCAAAAGAACTGCTTGAACCCGGGAGGTGGAGGTTGCAGTGAGTAGAGATCATGCCACTGCACTCCAGTCTGGGTGACGGAGCAAGACTCTGTCTCAAAAAAAATAATTAAAACAAAAAAGTTGTTCTTATTAAAAGTAAATGGTCTAGGCCAGGTGCAGTGACTCACACGTGTAGGTGAGGCCAAGGCGGGAGGATCACCTGAGATCAGGAGTTCCAGCCTGGGCAATATCATGAGACCTCATCTCTAAAAAAATAATAATAATAAACAAAACTAGCCAGGTGTGGTGGCACTCATCTGTGGTTCCAGCCACTCAGGAGGCTGAGGTGGGAAGATTGCTTGAGCCTTGAGATGGAGGCTGCAATAAGCCATGATCATGACACTGCACTCCAGCCTGGGCATCGGAGTGAGGCCTCATCTCTAAAAAACAAAAACAAAACAAAACAAAAAGTAAATAGTCTAAATCATCCAATTAAAAGGCAAGGATTGTCAGACTACATTAAAAAGCAAGACTTAATGTGCTTTCTAGAATAAACTCACT